GGTTGTTTAGTGGGGGTTGTTTAGTGGGGGTTGTTTAGTCAGGTTGTTTAGTCAGGTTGTTTAGTGGGGGTTGTTTAGTGGGGGTTGTTTAGTCAGGTTGTTTAGTCAGGTTGTTTAGTGGGGGTTGTTTAGTGAGGGTTGTTTAGTGGGGGTTGTTTAGTCAGGTTGTTTAGTGGGGGTTGTTTAGTGACGGTTGTTTAGTGGGGGTTGTTTAGTGAGGGTTGTTTAGTGAGGGTTGATTAGTGGGGGTTGTTTAGCGAGGGTTGTTTAGCGGGGGTTGTTTACTGAGGGTTGTTTAGTGAGGGTTGTTTACTGGGGGTTGATTAGCGAGGGTTGTTTAGCGAGGGTTGTTTAGCGAGGGTTGTTTAGCGAGGGTTGTTTAGTGAGGGTTGTTTAGTGGGGGTTGTTTAGTGAGGGTTGTTTAGTGGGGGTTGTTTAGTGGGGGTTGTTTAGCGAGGATTGTTTAGCGAGGGTTGTTTACTGGGGGTTGATTAGCGAGGGTTGTTTAGCGAGGGTTGTTTAGCGAGGGTTGTTTAGTGAGGGTTGTTTAGTGGGGGTTGTTTAGTGAGGGTTGTTTAGTGAGGGTTGTTTACTGGGGGTTGTTTAGTGGGGGTTGTTTAGTGAGGGTTGTTTAGTGGGGGTTGTTTAGTGAGGGTTGTTTAGTGGGGGTTGTTTAGTGGGGGTTGTTCAGGGGGGGTTGTTTAGTGGGGGTTGTTTAGTGGGGGTTGTTCAGTGGGGGTTGTTTAGTGAGGGTTGTTCAGTGGGGGTTGTTTAGTGGGGGTTGTTTAGTCAGGTTGTTTAGTCAGGTTGTTTAGTGGGGGTTGTTTAGTGGGGGTTGTTTAGTGGGGGTTGTTTAGTCAGGTTGTTTAGTGGGGGTTGTTTAGTGGGGGTTGTTTAGTCAGGTTGTTTAGTGGGGGTTGTTTAGTGAGGGTTGTTTATTGAGGGTTGTTTAGTGAGGGTTGTTTACTGGGGGTTGTTTAGTGGGGGTTGTTTAGTGAGGGTTGTTTATTCGGGGTTGTTTAGTGGGGGTTGTTTAGTGAGGGTTGTTTAGTGGGGGTTGTTTAGTCAGGTTGTTTAGTGGGGGTTGTTTAGTGGGGGTTGTTTAGTGAGGGTTGTTTAGTGGGGGTTGTTTAGTGGGGGTTGTTTAGTCAGGTTGTTTAGTGGGGGTTGTTTAGTGGGGGTTGTTTAGTCAGGTTGTTTAGTCAGGTTGTTTAGTCAGGTTGTTTAGTGGGGGTTGTTTAGTGGGGGTTGTTTAGTCAGGTTGTTTAGTCAGGTTGTTTAGTGGGGGTTGTTTAGTGAGGGTTGTTTAGTGGGGGTTGTTTCGTCAGGTTGTTTAGTGGGGGTTGTTTAGTGGGGGTTGTTTATTGAGGGTTATTTTAGTGAGTTATTTATTTCTGAAAGTCTCTCAGTCTCCCTCTCTCAGCCCCAGTAAACAGAGTCCAGTGCTGTCCAGCTCACAGCAAACACTAAGTAATGTTTTGGCCTTTCCGAGAGGTCAGAAATGCGCCCTGGAGTAAAATTCTGATGTTTTCACAGTGGAAAACGTTCCTAACAGCCTCAAATTGCACAACAGTTTGAACATGAACAAGTCATTAACTGAAGACTGTGATGGTCTCAGAGTCTCTGCTATTCATCAGTGAGCTGTATTTTTATGCAGAATTCCTTCAGATTGGAATGTTTTCCCGAGATTACGGGCAGATTTGAATCCCCAAAACACGAAATGCCAAATCTAATGATGATGGAGGAGAACGAGAGAACACAGCCAGTAAAGGGCTGCACTCAGGCTTTAGTACAGGACAGCGCTGATCCACACTGAACAGGCCAAGAGCAGCATTATTACACTGATTAATGTACTGAGTACCTCAGCAGATCAGTTTCATCATGTGAATAACTCATCCACTGAGAGCTGCAGACAGATTTAACTGTTTGGCCAGAACACTAGATTTGAACTTATCACCACATGAACAAGTTGATCAGAGATCAACTGATAAGACAAATGTTGAACCTGGTCATTGATCATTGATCAGTGCTATGTTGTTACTTATCATTAACTGCTAACTTTACCTTTTGGTCATCACTGTCACTCATCAGCTCTGTGAGAAGCAGAGAAGTGCAATAATAGACAGTTATCTAAGGCGGGTTTCTCAGCGGTGGTCCTGGAAGCCCACAACCCTGTACTTGTTAGTGTTCTCCTGCTCACAAACACACCTGATGCAACTAATCAGCTCATTAACAGCCCATTAGTGAGGTAAAGTGGCTGATAAAGCAGGAAAAACACTAGAATGTGCAGGACAGTGAGTCTCCAGGAGCAGGAAACACTGACAAACACTGATCTAAAGATCATAAAACACAGTATAGATATAGACAAAACAGTAATATGCCTCAGTTATACTTTAACTTATGTCTAATTCTTTATTTCTGCATAATCTATGTAGGTTTATGTCCAATTATATGCCTTCCTACTGTAATACTGCAATTTCCCTTTGGGATCAATAATGTTCTGTCTATCTATCTATCTGTCTGTCTGTCTGTCTGTCAGTCAGTCAGTCAGTCAGTCAGTCAGTCTGTCTGTCTATCTATCTATCTATCTATCTATCTGTCTCTCTGTCTGTCTGTCTATCTATCTGTCTATCTGTCTGTCTGTCTCTCTCTCTGTCTGTCTGTCTATCTATCTATCTGTCTCTCTGTCTGTCTGTCTCTCTATCTGTCTATCTGTCTGTCTGTCTATCTATCTATCTGTCTGTCTGTCTCTCTATCTGTCTGTCTGTCTGTCTATCTATCTATGTATCTATCTATGGCACTGATGTTCACTGTAGCCCAGAAATCACCAGTTTTATCACTGTGTTATCAGTTGATTTATCTGTGATCAACCTGATTTGCTGTACTGACCAACCTATTATGAATCAGTCTAGAGCCCCCTAGTGGCCACCTCTGATTTATTCACATGATGTTGGTTACTGGTCAATATTTGGTGGCCGCTTAATTTTTTGAACAAAAATGGAAATGAACTGAAAAAAGGTGACATGAAGTCAGAACAAAACCTTGTATCTCCATTTGTGTCATTTTATGCATTTATTTATGTAACTAATTTTGAAAAAGCCATTCAAACAATTTTATGATAAATAGTCAGATAGAAATTGCTCTGAATCACATTCTTACATTAACCTCCATTCAGGTTTTTTCCTCTGTGAAGTCACTGTTTGGAGATAGACGTTTTGTCCCGACAGCAGCCACCTGTATGTATAGTAAAGTATGTGGTCAGCATCTCCAGTCCTGGAGATCCACCTTCCTGCCTTCCTGCAGAGTCTAGTTATAGACCATGATCTGCCTCACCTGCTCCAGCTAATTAAACACTGCAGAAGTTCTTGATTGGCTGGATCAGATGCATTAGTGAGTAGAGCTGTATTTTAGGCCTCGTTCACACTGCCAGCCCACATCCGATTCTTACCATATCCGGATTGAATCCAGATTGATTTTTGATAGTTTGAACAGCAAAAACACATGAAACACATGAAATCGAATTTTTGCAAATCCACATTTGGAGCTGGTTTGAAATGAGACTCCAATCAGATTTTTACAGATGCATCTCAGTCTGGACGCTCAGATCGGATTCCAAAGTGTCTTTTGCGTCACTCACAACACAACAAACAGCGACGATGTCAAATCCAGAGTGATGAAGTGCTGGGAATCAGGAAGAGCTTCAAAGATTCATGATGATGAAGAGAGTTCTGAAGAGTTTGGAGGGGAGATGATGCTCCTCCATCTCTCCTGCATCCGCGTTTGAAATCCACATCACCAGCTTAGCTACGTAGTTACTGACGCCTACGTCGTTACCACGGCAACCCATGCAAATAGACTGGCGATGTCTGGACAAACAAATCAGATCTGATCACTCACAGATAACAGAGCGGACAGTCGACTCAAAAGATCTGATTTGAGAAACAAATCTGATTTACCTGCAGTCTGAACACAGACTAAGATGATGGTTGGACTTGCACTCTGCAGGATGTCCAGAAGGAGCGTTAGTGATCAGCGGTGCAACATGAGGGTCATCTCGTGGTCATATCCTGGTACTACATCCTAGTTGCAGCAGAGATTAACCATAACAGTGAACTCGCCACACATTGTCTCACTTTCTTCTCCCGATCTGGGAACTTTCCGATGTGTCCGGCGTGCGGCAGCCAACGACGTGATATTAACCTCCTGTTCTCAGGGTAACAGAGATGCACATTAAATGTGGGACACAAGTTAAAATGACGTTTTTGTTAAATTAAATAAATTAATAGGGAAAAACAATTAAACTGCTTGGAAATGAACCGAATAACACTGTAATAATGGTGTTACTGGAAGATTTTAATGACTACATTTCACAGAGAGGTTCAGTGTCACTAAGGTGCCCCAAAACACCATTTAAATGGTGGATACAGACATGTTGAGTGTTTTGTGATCATTTAAATGCTAATTTTAATCATTTCATTTTAAGTCAAAGTACTGATCCCTTCACTTTTCATGGAATTAAAAATAACAGTCATTTTATATCTTTAAAAATGGAAAATAAATCTGAACTCTATTCATGAAAAGTGCCACATATTTACCACACAAACTCTACACCAGCACAGGAATAAAAACTGAATTCTAGAACGTCTCCAGCAGAAACTATCAAAGCCGTTAGTTAAGAGACCCTTATTAGTCCCACAACGGGGAAATTTCACCTCCGCATTTAATCCATCTGTGCAGTAAAACCACATACACACTAGTGAACACACACACTAGGGGGCAGTGAGCACACTTGCCCGGAGCGGTGGGCAGCCCTATCCACAGTGCCCAGGGAGCAGCTGGGGGTCAGGTGTCCTGTCGGCTCAGGGGATCAAACCAGCGACCTTCCGGTCACAGGGCTGGTTCCCTAATCTCCAGGCTGTCCATTTTAATCATGTGGAACAAAAGCGATGACGACTGTTTCATCCTGTGTGTGATATTAACCGGTTTCTGTCTCGTTGTAGGGACCTTCGTGACCGTGAGAGATGGAGAACGTCACAGACGTTCCTGCTAAAGGCCTCGTTCTGACGTGTAACCTGACCAACCACGACTTCATCTTCACTGTCATCCCTCTCGTCTACAGCTGCAACTTCCTGCTGGGCATTGTGGGTAACAGCATGGTGGTGGCGGTCATCTACTACCACCTGAAGCTGAAGACGGTGGCGAATGTCTTCGTGCTGAATTTAGCGCTGTCGGACCTGACGTTCCTCATCACCCTGCCCATGTGGGCCACCTACACGGCTCTGGGCTACGACTGGCCGTTTGGAGACTTCCTCTGTAAGGCTGTGGCGGGTTTAGCCTTCTTCACGCTTTACGCTAGCGTGTTTTTCCTCACGGCTCTTAGCATCGACCGATATTTAGCCATCGTCCACCCCGTGGAGTCCCGGCAGTGCCGGACGGTGGCGTACGCTTGGTGCGTGTGCGCTCTGGTTTGGCTTTTCGCCTTCACCCTCAGCCTGCCGATGACGTACATCCGCAAAACGCACTTCATCAAGCACGCCAACGTGACCGTGTGCGGCCTGCTGGACGCAGAACACCAGAGCTTACTGGCCGCTCTGAGCCTGATGAAGGCCGTTTTCGGCTTCCTGTTGCCCCTAGTCATCATCCTCACGTGTTACTCTCTGATTGGCCGAGCACTGCTGGAGGCTGGGCAGATCCAGAAGAGTTCCAGGATGCAGGGGGATGAAGTTCTGCGGATGCTGGCGGCCGCCGTCCTCTCGTTTTTCCTCTGCTGGGCTCCTCACCAGGTCTTTAACTTCATGGAAGCCTTGCTAATGCTGAAACAGATCAGCGACTGCGCTGTAGTCGCGGTGATCGACACGGCCATGCCCTTCGCCATCTGCGTCGCCTTCTTCAACAGCTGCATGAACCCCATCCTGTACGGCTTCGTGGGGAAGAACTTCCGCAGGAGCCTCCTGAAGCTGCTGAGATGTTTCTCCTCCAGCTCCACTCTGAATCACCCCAACCTCAGCACCAAGATGAGCACCCTGTCCTACAGAGCGTCCGAAACAGCGCAGAGTGTGGAGAGGAAGAGCACAACGCTGCCACGAGACAAGTGAACATTCACTGGAGCTACCAGGCTAATGTGGCTAACAAGTAATTAGCATTTAGTTTAGCGCTAGTTTACATACAGCAGTGTGTCACATCAAGGCTATTAAAGATTACTGAACAACTCCACGCTCTGATGATGGTTGATGCTAACTGGTGGGTTATAAGCCTCCATTAAGCTATACAACGATCAGCCATAACATTCTGACCACATTGTCCATTTTATCAGCTCCACTTACTATATAGGTGCACTTTGTAGTTCTACAGTTACAGACTGTAGTCCATCTGTTTCTCTGATACTTTGTTAGCCCCCTTTTACCCTGTTCTTCAGTGGTCAGGACCCCCATGGACCCCCACAGAGCAGGTACTATTTGGGTGGTGGATCATTCTCAGCACTGCAGCAACACTGGTGGTGTGTTAGTGTGTGTTGTGCTGGTCTGAGTGGATCAGACACAGCAGTGCTGCTGGAGTTTTTAAACACTGTGTCCACTCACTGTCCACTGCTGCACAGTTTGTGTTGGTCATCCTCCAGTCCTTCATCAGTGGTCACAGGACGCTGCCCACAGGACGCTGTTGGCTGGATATTTTTGGTTGGTGGACTATTCTCAGTCCAGCAGTGACTCTGAGGTGTTTCAAAACTCCAGCAGCACTGCTGTGTCTGATCCACTCAGACCAGCACAACACACCACCACCACATCAGTGTCACTGCAACAAGGAGGTGGCCAGAATGTTATGCCTGATTGGTGTATTAGCTTCATAATCCAGTGCTAAAACTGAAGAGGCAAACATGTCGGAGCTCTTCGACCACATATGTTCTACATGCGTGGAAATGCCTGATGCCACAAAGCTAACAAGTAATGGAAGCTTATGCTCCACCAATTAGCTTGTTGCTAACTGCATCACACACTTGCCTCAAACATGCTTGTGAAGTTGGTGTCCCTGTTTACCAGCTTCTTATTCTAATTCTCCGTTCCACCTTAAATGACGCAGCAGTTGGGTCATTCTACAGAAACGTCCATCTTTGTGTCCCTAGCGTTTACAGATATATTACACTTAAAAACATGTTTGGGTTACACACACACCTTCTAAGCCGCTTATCCTTCTGGGTCGCGGTGAGGTGCTGGAGCCTATCCCAGCTGTCATCGGGCGGAAGGCAGGATACACCCTGGACAGGTCGCCAGTCCATCGCAGGGCAGACAGACAGACATACACATTCGCACCTAGGGGCAATTTAGCAGCTCCAGTTGGCCTGACAGCATGTCTTTGGACTGTGGGAGGAAACCAGAGAACACACACACGCAGACACGGGGAGAACAGGCAAACTCCACACAGAAAGGACCCTGGTCACCTGGCCAGGGAATCGAACCCAGACCATTCTTGCTGTGAGGCGACAGCGCTACCCACTGCACCACTGTGCCGCCCCGTTGTTTGGGTTACAATTTTTTTATATTTTAAAATAAAACAGTAAGTTATTTGAACAATTCCACCTTCTTGAGCCTCAATTTAGCAATATTGGTTTTAAATCTATCATATAGAATTACAATCACCACAGAAGAGCTCGTCCCCACAGTCATGTGTAAATATCATAAAGAAAACAAATGCCAAATAAATATTATAAAATACATAATGAAAGTTGTCCCCAGGAGTCGTGTCACTGGTGTTACTGCATAAAAAATCTCTTATTTTGAAATAAAAGTCACACTGATGACATCACTCGACTTCCTTTTCCCTGTTTTCTGAGGATCTATGAAGAAAAGCTCATGGTGAGTCCACTGTGTCTTTCAGTTATCAGAGATTTTCTCATTTAGCTCATGATTTCATATGAAGCTTTTAGCTGAAGTCACTGGTGTGACCGACTTTATTCTGAGGTAACTGTGAAAAAAATAGAATACAAATGGATTAAATTCCATATTTTAGTGGATTTTCCATGACTGACAACATGTGGTTTGATGTTCTGTAGCAGTTATTCTGTAAAATGCATTGTTCATTAAAATGTCTCTGGTGTTCCTTTATTATGTGGAACACCAATGAGGATCGGTAACACCAGTGACTCCTATGGACAGATAGAGAAGTGGACGTTTATGTAGAATGACCCAGTTGCATTCCGGCGCCTTAAGGTGGAACAGAAAAGCTAATTGAACGTGTTTGTGTGATTTCTGACGCTGTGTGTGGTGCTGTTCTTTGTAAACATGGACTAAGTTAGATGCTGATTACATGTTAGCTACATCGGCCTCGTAGCTCCAGAGCTAAAACTACAGAGGGAAACTCCAGACGCCAAACACCGACTGTGTTTGGGGTAAAAGGGAAACTGGAACAGGAACAATATTACACTGTTAAACAGTTTAAACACTGATTTTAACCGATTGTTATGATGTAAAGAGACTCTGTTCATTTATATTCAGGTTCATGTGTTTGTAATAAATGGCTTCCTATAATAATAATAATAATAATAATAATAATGTGTGGGATGAAAAGTGACCGATGTTAAAGTCTGTTAAAGAGACCAAACCCTACGCTTTCACTGTGTAGAGCTCCACTCATAACATCTGTGTGTTTAAGTGCAAAGAAGTCATCATGATGTTTTCTGACAGTTAAACAGGCTGTTTCTGTTACTGTGCCTTTAACAGTGTGTATGTAAATGAGCTCTGTTCTGATTGGCCACTCATTTAAAAAGCAGTCTGGGCTGAAACATAACTTCAGCGTGAATGGGAGGGGCTAAGCAGATGTAGGTTGAATGGGTGGGGTTAAACCGCTGTAGACTGAATGTTTTGGTTTTTATGACATCACAAAAACATGTTTAAAAGTTTGTTTAATTTTCATATGAACGGTACATTTTAAACCTTTAACAATGTTTACAAACTTCATCACACTCTCATTTCAGAAAAGGGAGGAAAATCCATTTTTTCTATGGTTTTGGCCCTTTAAAGGCGTAATGACTGAATTTATGATGACTAATGATTGTGATTTATGATGGATGTTATACATAAATAAATATTTATATGTGGCGCAAAATTGAATAAATCTGATTGTTTAATCTACAACAATAAAATGTTTGTATTAAGTCACTTCTGAGGACTCCATAAACCTCTCTTTGTGATTGGTTGTTAGCAAACACAAACATTACAGCATCCCTGTTAAATAAAATAAAAAAAAGTTAAAAATCTAAAACTAAATAGTCCACAACACATTTTTTTAGATTTTCCACAATTTTACCATCAGCAATACATATAAAAACACTGAATTACACAGAAATTTGGAAAATCGGTGGAGCTCCCCTTTAACAACAAGCAGCAGTTCTCCAAGCTGCCGCGAGGGGGCTCCAAATCACAACTCACCATCCGCAGCGTTAAAAACATGAACATGAGCGCGGATTGATTTCATATCTTCAAAATAAAAGCTGATCCATATTATAATGTTATTTTAATACTCATAATAAAATAAAGCAGAAGTTTATTTCAATCTGACCTCAAATTCAGCTGCAATTCAGATACAAGACTTTAAATTTATGCTTCAGAATTTGTATAATAAGTATTAATATAAATAATGTAATTATTATAATTCTAACGCTGCATCCAGATGGACTGTGATGCACTTGGTGGTGGTGGGGGGTGCTGGTGGTGGTGGTGGTGGTGGTGGTGGGGGGGGATGTGTGTATGTGACTGTGGGTGTGTCCTGTACAGTCAGAGATCACATGACCTCTAAGAGTCATTGCTGCAGCAGTATAAACAGGCTATAAGCACGCAGACTCCCCCTCTGCCTGTCTGTCTTTCTGTCTCTCTCTCATCCTCTCCTGCGGTGGTGACGCTGCTGTGGTTGGTGTTGGTGTCTCCGGCTCATGGCAGGTAGGAGAAAGAGAGGAAATGAACAGAATAAAAGGACAACAGAGGCTTTAAAAGCTGCAGGGTTAGCTCGGTTAGCTCGGCTAACAAGTTGGCCTCTGCTTCGCTTTCGAATTCTCCGTTCCACCTTAAATGGCGCAGCTGTTACATTGTAACTGCTACGCCATTTAAGGTGGAACGGAGAATTCGAAAGAGAAGCCAACTTCGCTCGCAGTGTAACTAATATTTGTTTCAGTAGACTCTTCCTGTTTATCAGCCATCTCTGAATGTTTACCGCAGCTTTTCTTCTGTAATTAAACCGTAATTATTCTCCAGCGCTTACTTTAAGGTACAGTTGCGGTACTGGATTCTGATTGGCTGAATCCGCACAACCGCTGAGTTCAGTATTAATGCGCCGACCCCCTGCGAAGGACTGATAAAGGGGAACTCCACCGATCTTCTAAAATTCCCTCCATAACTCAGTGTGTGAGATGTAATCAGAGTGATTCAGAGTGGTTTGGTGTGAAATGGTTCAGATGTCTTTACAGTGGTGGTGATAGGAACCAGGGGTCGCCATGACTACAACACAAATATAGACATTTTATTTACTATCCAGAACCACCAGTGAACCTACACGAGTCTTCTGAGTTTATATGGAATGTTGATGGAAAATAGTGGAAAATCTGAAATAGTAAGTTTTCTTTGGGGACTATTTTGCCTCACAGCGCCCTGCATGTATCCCTCCACCATGAGTGGAGTTTAAGTTCTCTAAACTATCATAAAACAGTGTCTCAGTCATCAGGCAGTGAATTCATAACCATTTCATGTAGGAACTTTCTGTGAGGGAGCTTTTAGAGGTGGACGTCTGGTTCCTATCACCACCACTGTGAACAGTTCTGACTGTGGAACAGAACGTTTCACACCAAACCACTCCAAACCACTCTGAACCGCTCTGTTCACATCTTAGCTACTTAATTATGTAGATATTTTGTAAAAATTGTCAGAAAAATGATTTTATTTCAGGTATGTCTGTTCCATTACTCCCCTCCCTTTCCTATGCCATAATAGTCGTAATAATAATAATTATTATTATAGTAATAATCATAGTAAGAAGTCACTGTAACACACAGCCTTAAGTGGATTGTTGCATTAGTGATCTATAATAATTGTGTATAATATTTCCATAGTGTTCTTATAGTAATCAATAATAGTTATGTGCTGTTCTGAAAACTACATTGTTATTAATGTGTATCTTTATCATAAAGGTGTATAAGTGACGTGTGTGGTGTGTGTGTGTGTGTGGTGTGTGTGTGGTGTGTGTGTGTGTGGTGTGTGTGTGTGTGTGTGTACTCAGACCAGGCCTTTGTCACTCTTGCCACCAATGATAACTACGCTAAAGGAGCCATGGTTCTGGCTCGGTCCCTGAGGAACCATGGCACGAGCCGCAAACTCGCTGCTCTGATCGGGCCGCATGTTTCAGAACCATCCAGGTAAGGGGAACAAGCCTGACCATCTTTAATAACCATAAAAATTATCTTAATAATCAGTACAGATCATAATAATCAATAATCTGTCATATCTGCTGGTGATCTTTAACCCAGCGTCAATACAGAATGAACTTCAGAGCCAGAGAGCAGCGGAATGAGGACCTTTCATTTGGTCATGTATGTAAACGGGTGTAGTGTAACCATGGGAACGACCATGGAAATTAGCATATCGTAACCGTGGAAACGAGTGTGAATTGACTCTGGGAATGGGTATAGTGTAACCATGGAAATGATTGTGGATTGGCCATGGTCAAGGATGTAACGTAACCATGGGAACTTAGCATAACTGTGAAAATTGGTATATTGTAGCCATGGAAATGGCTGTAGCATGACTTGGAAACAGTGCAGCGTAACCATGGGAACGGGTGCGTTTGAGAGAGATGTTTATCAGTCAGCCCACATAACGTTTCTATTTCCATCGTCTGGATTAAGAGAGCCTGACGAATGGCTCCAGGCCCGTCTCCCAGAGTCCAGCTGCTGGAGATGAGGTTCTCTGTTCTGCAGCTCTGTGATTCAGATGATCTGCTCTAGCTCTCCTCCTATTGGACAGACAGAGTTCAACATTAAGTTCTCTGACTAACTGAGTTGTGTTGTGTTGTAGAGCGGTGCTCCGTAAACTGTACGATGAGGTCCGGCTGGTGGACGTGATGGACAGTGGAGATAAAGCTCACCTGGCTCTGATGAAGCGTCCTGACCTTGGGGTCACCTTCACCAAACTGCACTGCTGGACCCTCACGCACTACAGCAAGTGTGTGTTCATGGATGCAGACGCGCTGGTGAGGAGAACAGCTACATTACACCTGTGGTTTAGCCCCACCCATTCAGTCTACAGCAGTTTAGCTCCACCATTCAGTCTACAGCAGTTTAGCTCCGCCCATTCAGCCTACAGCAGTTTAGCTCCACCATTCAGTCTACAGCAGTTTAGCTCCACCATTCAGCTACAGCAGTTTAGCTCCACCATTCAGCTACAGCAGTTTAGCTCCACCATTCAGCTACAGCAGTTTAGCTCCACCATTCAGCTACAGCAGTTTAGCTCCACCATTCAGTCTACAGCAGTTTAGCTCCACCATTCAGCTACAGCAGTTTAGCTCCACCATTCAGTCTACAGCAGTTTAGCTCCACCATTCAGCTACAGCAGTTTAGCCCCACCATTCAGTCTACAGCAGTTTAGCTCCACCATTCAGCTACAGCAGTTTAGCCCCACCATTCAGCTACAGCAGTTTAGCTCCACCATTCAGCTACAGCAGTTTAGCCCCACCATTCAGCTACAGCAGTTTAGCTCCACCATTCAGTCTACAGCAGTTTAGTCCCACCATTCAGTCTACAGCAGTTTAGCCCCACCATTCAGTCTACAGCAGTATTTGTGTGTTATGTTCTTTCCTGTTTTCAGGTTGTGTGTAATGTAGATGACCTGTTTGAGCGTGAAGAGTTGTCGGCGGCTCCTGACCCCGGGTGGCCCGACTGCTTTAACTCTGGCGTGTTTGTGTTCCGGCCGTCCGTCGAAACGTACGAAAAACTCCTGACGTTCTGCACAGAGAACGGCAGCTTCGATGGTGAGCAGCTCAGATTCATCACCACATTCGTGATTAGATGAAGATGAGTTGATGTGTCTTTTACTTCAAAACCAAACACGTTCTGTAAGATTCACATGATCCACTCAGTCATTCTGACAGACATCATATTATTGGTCAGTGTTATTTTGCTCCACCCACTGGTGCACAGTGATGTCATCAAAAATCAGATGTTTGAGAGGCGGGGCAAAAGTCGCTACATTTTGATGGACGATTGCAGAAAAACAAGAATTCAGTATTGTAATGAATTTGACATCATAATTCATGCTGAGGAAGAGGAATTCCATCGTTTTTTCAAAATTCCTCCATAACTCAGTGTGTGAGATGTAATCAGAGTGACTCAGAGTGGTTTGGTGTGAAATGGTTCAGATGTCTTTACAGTGGTGGTGATGGGAACCAGGGGTCGCCATGACTACAACACAAATATAGACATTTTATTTACTATCCAGAACCACCAGTGAACCTACACGAGTCTTCTGAGTTTATATGGAATGTTGATGATGGAAAATAGTGGAAAATCTGAAATAATAAGTTTTCTTTGGGGACTATTTTGCCCACAGCGCCCTGCATGTATCCCTCCACCATGAATGGAGTTTAAGTTCTCTAAACTATCATGAAACAGTGTCTCAGTCATCAGGCAGTGAATTCATAACCATTTACTGTAGTAACTTTCTGTGAGGGAGCTTTTAGAGGTGGACGTCTGGTTCCTATCACCACCACTGTGAACAGTTCTGACTCGGTAAGTTTATCTAGAACGGAGCGTTTCACACCAAACCGCTCTGAACGACTCTGATTTACATCTTAACCACTGAATTACACAGAACATTTTGGGAAGTGGGTGGAGTTCCTCTTTAAAGCTTCTCATTCACTCTAATCTCATTGACTTCAGTGCATTAAGTTTGCTAATCTTCTGAAGGCCTGGATTTCTGTCTGGACGCTTTTGTTTCTCAGACTCAGTGGAGTTAAATACGTCTCGATCTTTATCACTGAACACTCAGCAGAGGGGTTTGTTTTTTCGTGCCCCTGCTGACCTTTCCGAGTTATTTTAGTGGTGGATGTTGAACAGGATTAGACTGGTCACTCCTCCTCGTCCCTCTGGGGTTTATCTCCTCTCCGCTGTGTGGATCATTCATGAGAAGCCTAAATGCTCAGAGTCTCCTTTAAAAGATAACCGCTGGTTTTTAGGCAGCTGGGTGGCAAAGTCATTTCCTCTAAAGAGGAACCGACTTTGTTCGTCTAACACAGGAAGTGCAGAAGTTTGAGCAGAATTTGGCGAGAATATGGAGAGTGAACTGGCACCACAGCGCGGACCCTTAACTTAACATTAAACATGCTTTATTACCTGTTTATGATCTATGATGTGTTTAGGTTGTAACTCATTTAGACAGTCATTTCACCTTCAAACGTTTATTAAATCTGCTGCAAGTGTTTTAGTTCCTAGCCGGTGATCATCAATGCAGTTCCTGTTTGTTTTTGTGGTTTTTATCATAAACCTCATTTTATCACATTCACTCATTCACTGCATGTCAGAGATCAAACAGAGATGAAACGACGGCCAGTAAAAACTTCACTTTTTAGTCATAAAAGCTTAACTGTCAGTGGGAATTTTATTAATGATTTATAACTGATTCTTTATTAATTCTTTAACTGTGAAGACCAGTTTACAGACTGTAGGCTCTGATAGAACAGCACTGGCTGCCTAAGGTTTACTCTAGAACAGCACCGGCTGCCTAAGGTTTACTCTAGAACAGCACCGGCTGCCTAAGGTTTACTCTAGAACAGCACCAGCTGCCTAACTTTTACTCTAGAACAGCACCAGCTGCCTAAGGTTTACTCTAGAACAGCACCAGCTGCCTAAGGTTTACTCTAGAACAGCACCGGCTGCCTAAGTTTACTCTAGAACAGCACCGGCTGCCTAAGTTTACTCTAGAACAGCACCGGCTGCCTAAGTTTACTCTAGAACAGCACCGGCTGCCTAAGTTTTACTCTAGAACAGCACTAGCTGCCTAAGTTTTACTCTAGAACAGCACTGGCTGCCTAAGTTTACTCTAGAACAGCACCGGCTGCCTACGTTTTACTCTAGAACAGCACTAGCTGCCTAACTTTTACTCTAGAACAGCACTAGCTGCCCAAGGTTTACTCTAGAACAGCACCGGCTGCCTAAGTTTACTCTAGAACAGCACTAGCTGCCTAAGCTTTACTCTAGAACAGCACCGGCTGCCTAAGTTTTACTCTAGAACAGCACCGGCTGCCCTAAGGTTTACTCTAGAACTGCACTAGCTGCACCTTCAGCACTAGCTGCCTAACTTTTACTATAGAACAGCACCGGCTGCCTAAGCTTTACTCTAGAACTGCACTAGCTGCCCAAGTTTTACTCTAGAACAGCACCAGCTGCAGCGTCAGAGAACAGTTTAAAGAATCCGAGGCCCCAACCAAAGAAGTGGCCGAATAACGAGCCCTTTTTACGGTGAACTTGTGGGTGATGAGTCCAGCTGTCAACCACTGGAACTTCATAATTGCTCATGTGATGCTGGCGAAGACAAAACTGAAGCTGCGGGAGCGACTGGCGTTCGCTGGCCGCTGCGTGACGCTCTGTTCTTTTGCACATGTGGGTCAGTTTAGGAGCTGATCTGTTCAGACTGACGTCGCATACAGATCACATTTAGAAGATGATCTGAACAGCCAAACAAAAAACTCGGATTTGGTGAGAAAATCAGATTTGGGCCACTTTTACCTGCTGTGTGCTGTTTGAGTGGTTTCAGGAGGCTTCTGAGTGGGTCTGGGGGGTTATGTGTGGTTTTGGGGGGTTATGTGTGGTTCTGGGGGGGTTATGTGTGAGTTTAGGGGGGTTTTGTTGCAACTATACACCTAAAGCAAAGTCTGAAGGTCACGGCTGCTTCACTCCTGTTATCGCCCAGAGTGTATTGTGATGTATGGGGCACTAAAAAGATCAGGGTCAGAGGTCAGGGTCTGAGTTACAACACCCTCCTGCACTTGTGGCTAACGGCTGAGAACCAGCAGAGCTGTGGGAACATTTCTGCTCTGGTGGACGTCCACGTTTCCGCTGGTTTTGACCATGAGATGGTCCCTGTTGGCCCCCCTTATCTGAGCCTTATTTTTGGAGCAAACACTCCATCCAATCGGATCGACGGTCCTTCTAACCAGTGAATGCAGCTACTCTAAGGTCAAGCTGACACAGCTCGTATAATCTCCTTAGAAAAGCACTGACCAATAGAATGGGACACACATGATCCTAAGGTCTCCATGTCCAGTGTGGGCTAGAGGGGTATAAAGCCCCCCAGCACTGGGCTGTGGAGCAATAGAACCGTGTTCTCTGGAGTGATGGAGCTCCATCCAGTACCTTTGGGATGAGTTGGAGTGATCCAGAACTGACCATCCAGCATCAGTACCTGACCTCACTAATGCTCAATCAAATCCTTACAGCAATGTTCAACATCTAGAAGGTCTTCCCAGAAGAGTAGAGGCTGTTACTGCAGCACAGACTCACTATTAACACCATTTCAGAGGAAACTCAGGAGTCCACAGGCGCTGTGGGCTGTGGATCAGCACTAACCTCCACCTTCAGAAACACAAACACTGACCGACTCTCAGGACTCTCAGCTTCTTACAGGGTTATTGATGTAAGTGAAGCTGTTCAGATCTGACTGTTATGAAGCTGAAAGAACAGGACTGGGTTCCACAGGTTTGAGTGAGTTTGTATTTAAGTTTGTGTGTAAAGTCTTTATTAAACCTTTACTAACAATAAAACTGTCCTTTCACTAAATTCAGTTTCAAAACCCGTAGGGCTGCACCGATACCACCTTTTACCTTCAGTATCAGCCGATACCGATATGAACTCTGTCTAACTTAACTAGCTTAAGTCCTGAGATAGTCCTGATTTATACACTCATACTTTTAAATACTTTGGTTGTGTTCTGTTGTCACAATAAAAGTTCTCAGGTTTTGACATCTGAAAATGTCTGATGTTCTTTACATTGGAAATGTAAAGAACTTTACTTCTTCTACTTTTTTACTTGGAAAGAATTCTGGTTCCATTGACTTACATTAAAAGTAAAGTAGGTTTTTTCCTTCTTCTGTAAAGTTACCATTTTGGAAATACAAGGTTTTGTTCTGACAGCAGTGATATAGATATTAGTTAGCTATATATATATAATATAGTATTTAGCTATTTTTGCTGGGTGTCATATTGTTCAGTTTTGTTTACTATTTTGCATAATAGTGAAGATATTTCAAATTTGTTTTGGTTGTTGAAGATGGTTCTTGATAAAAAGTGAAGTGACATCCCAGAATAATATGACACTATTATAAAAGCAGATTTATGTTTGTATCAAAAATGGCTTTATTTCAAAATACAAAAATACATGCACTGCAGTTTTATTTAAACTGATATTTTGGCCGCGCTGTAGAATAATTACAGTAATGAATTAATGATTATCATTATTATTATTATTATTATTATTATTATTATAACCCCTGCAGTGGCGATATGTTGTGATGTGATGTGTTGTGTTGTTTTGTGTTGAGATGTGATGTATTGCGAATTGTTGTGATGTGATGTGATGCGTTGCGATGTGATGTGTTGCGATGTGATGTGTTGTGATGTGATGTGTTGCGATGTGATGTGTTGCGATGTGATGTGATGCGTTGCGATGTGATGTGTTGCGATGTGATGTGTTGTGATGTGATGTGTTGCGATGTGATGTGTTGCGATGTGATGTGTTGTGATGTGTTGCGATGTGTTGTGATGTGTTGCGATGTGATGTGTTGTGATGTGATGTGTTGCGATGTGATGTGTTGTGATGCGTTGCGATGTGTTGCAATGTGATGTGATGTGTTGCGATGTGATGTGTTGTGATGTGTTGCGATGTGATGTGTTGCGATGTGATGTGTTGTGATGTGTTGCGATGTGATGTGTTGTGATGTGTTGCGATGTGATGTGTTGTGATGCGTTGTGATGTGATGCGTTGCGATGTGTTGCGATGTGATGTGTTGCGATGTGTTGTGTTGTGATGTGTTGCGATGTGATGTGTTGTGATGCGTTGTGATGTGATGCGATGTGTCGTGATGTGTTGTGATGTGATGTGTTGTGATATGTTGTGATGTGTTGTGATGTGTTGAGATGTGTCGTGATGCGATGTGATGTGTTGTGATGTGATGCGATGTGTTGCGATGTGATGTGTTGCGATTTGTTGTGATGTGGTGTTGTGTTGCGATGTGTTGCGATGTGTTGTGATGTGATGTGTTGTGATGTGATGTGTTGCGTTGTGATGTGTTGCGATTTGTTGTGATGTGGTGTTGTGTTGCGATGTGTTGTGATGTGATGTGTTGTGATGTGTCGTGATGTGATGTGTTGCGATTTGTTGTGATGTGATGTGTTGTGATGTGTTGTGTTGTGTTGTGATGTGTTGTGATGTGTTGTGATGTGATGTGATGTGTTGCGATGTGTTGTGCAGGTGGGGATCAGGGGGTCCTGAACAGTTTCTTCAGCGACTGGGCCACAGCAGACATCTCCAAACACCTTCCCTTCATCTACAACCTCAGCAGCATCGCCATCTACACCTACCTCCCCGCCTTCAGACAGTGAGTACACGATCCAGTCCTTTCAGATCAGAGACACGGCTGGGTCTGCTCGTTAAGCTCCTCCTCCTTTAATAACGAGTTTAATCAGTGCTGTTATCACGTTTATTTTGATCTCGTTTCGCTCTGAATGTGTTTGCATGTCCGCTCAGAAACGTCCGCAGCGCATCAGCAGTAAAGGCGGCGCGGAGCTTCTTTAACACAGTGAGAGGAAACCTGACCCATTTTACCATCACTGGTGTTCTACAGTCTGATTGGCTGTGTTTGATTCTACTGTAAAACACTCAGCTATTACCAGATCACATTAACTGGATTCTCTATTACTGCACAGTATTAACTCACTGGAATCCACTGGAATCCACTAAAATCCACTGCGCTGTGAAATGGACTGCTATTCTGCTCACAGGAACCACAGAGTGACAGGTGAAGTTAGAACCCGGTTCTGCAAAAACTGAGGAACTGGCAACTAAATAGGCTAAAAGGTAGCTAACATAGGCTGAAATATACACTCAGCGGTTTGACTGGATAAAAATAAGCAGTTTAAACTTCATTAGAAGTATAATTCTGGATTTCTGGACAGGCAACCAAAAACTTGGACAATCAAGAGAAATCCAGAATGGGGGGCAAACTTAATTGTGTGGCACCGTTAGCTCAGTGCTAACACAGCACAGGAAAGTCACACTGAGATGCTAGCTGGAATTAGCACTCTCTTTGTTGTGCTAATTTGGTGAGATGGATCAATTATTATTGCAATTGTTGCCAATTATAACATTAAAATAAGTGTTTCATCATATTTTATGTTGTCGCTGTTTTATAAAATCATAAAATAAGCCTGTAAAGCGCGTATTTATGTAGTAAGGTGGGTTTTTTTGTCTCTTTTGTTTTGTTTTGTTTTGTTTTCGTAACAAAAAAATCCACAAGCAAAATGTTGCGTATCAACATGAGTGAAAATGAGTTTGCAAGATATTTTGGGCAATTTGATACAAAACATTTTGCTTGCAGATTTTATTTTTATTTGAAACTTTTGGGCACAAAATAATTCCAAACAAGGTGCTTTAATAAGTGTTAAAGTGCAGATAAAAAATAAAAAATAATTCAAATCGAAAGAAAAGTTGAAGAAGCTAAAAGCTCAGTGTACCTCCTGACGCCGTCACAGTGCAGGACCGTCTGTGTTGTTTTATTCTGAACTCCAGTCACTGGTCAGTGTGTCTGAGCAGGTCTGATGTAACCACTGAGCAGCAGTTAGAGGTGATGAGGTCACAGTCCTGTCTGTACTGCAGCGGTCGGTAACAGGAGCCGAGTTTGGGGGGTGGGGTGGGGTGGGGGGGCTCTTGTTCTTGGCTTTGACCCCTTGGCATGCAGACACCAGTTCCTTTAAATAGCAGCTTTATTCTGGGGTCCTTATACCGCCTGACTGCCGCTTCAGTCACGTCTGCACATGATCTGTTTTCCGTAGCGGTGGTCACTCCGTCCTGAGACCCTCGGTGAGGGTCTGTTTGTCTTCACTATACGCTGAATTTATGACTTACGGTTCCAGCAGCACCTGCCAGTGTTGGTTCTGTTCATATCCACACTGATCACAGAGCCCAGGTTGTTTAGTGAAGACTCTAAGATGGTTTTCCAACATTTTGGATGATGTTCGTTTTCTGCCACTTAGCTCTGTGACTCTGGGGGTCTGCTGTTGGAGTGGCACTGACGTTTTTAAATAAATAGTCCTAGTCCTGAGATCTGATTGGCTGAGCTGAGCTCTAAGCTGATGTGAAGTCCTCGATACACTCAGCTACGACCCACACAGAGACCGAATGCTGTATTACTGCGTGACTCACTAAACTCTGGTGGTGTTGATGTCCTGGTCTCTGACTGTTCGACTGAGTGCGCTGATGAAGTAGCTCTGTCTTCAAACCCTGTTGGAAATATTATCTGTACGATATGAGAGCAGACGAGTGCCACAGTCGTATTTACTCGAGTGAAGCTCAGTGTTTTTGAAGAGCCCTGAGTTTCTGAGTCAACAAAAAAAGCAGCAGCAGCCGCTGGTAGAATCTCATTAACCGCTGCTCTTTATGTTTGCAGTGACTCATAATGATCAGACTCTTTTTAGTGACACAAAAACAAAAGATAACAAAAATGTAATTATGTCCAGAACATCTGCTGTTTTTACCAGCCAAACTTGAGCACATAGTTATATATTTGACCTCCTAAGTCATAAGAACTTCAGAGGAGAACCTGAAGACGGTATAAGAATCTAGTTCTGTTTAAACTGAGGAGCTGAGAGCTTATTTTCTTACCTAGGCCTACAATAATCAGCTAGCTGAGCGGCTTAAAGGTGGCTGACTGGCTTAAAGGTGGCTGACCGGCTTAAAGATGGCTGACAGGCTAAAAGTTGGCTGATAGGCTTAGAGTTACTTGACAAGCTAAAAGACGGCTGACAGGCTTAAAGGTCACTGACAGGCTTAAAGGTCACTGACAGGCTTAAAGTTCACTGACAGGCTTAAAGTTCACTGACAGGCTTAAAGGTGCCTGACAGGCTTAAAAGGTCACTGACAGGCTTAAAGGTCGCTGATAAACTTAGGGGTGCCTCAAAGGCTTAAAGGTGCTTGACAGGCTTAAAGACGGATGACCACCTTAAAGGTGGCTGACAGGCTTAAAGACGGATGACCAGCTTAAAGGTGGCTGACAGGCTTAAAGACGGATGACCAGCTTAAAGGTGGCTGACAGGCTTAAAGGTGGCTGACAGGCTTAAAGGTGGCTGATAAGCTTAGGGGTGCCTGACAGGCTTAAAGGTGGCTGACAGGCTTAAAGGTGGCTGACAGGCTTAAAGGTGGCTGATAAACTTAGGGGTGCCTGACAGGCTTAAAGGTGCTTGACAGGCTTAAAGGTGCCTGACAGGCTATAAGATGGCTGACGGACTAAAAGACGGCTGACAGGCTTAAGAGTACCTGACAGGCTATAGGATAGCTAAGGATAGCTAACTGGCCGAAAAATAGCTAGCAGGCTAAATATCTCCCCCATTAAGATCACAGGCTTTGAACCAAAGTACTTTTATGATTGACTGTAAAAGAATAATACGAGCATGTAAACATATAACATTTATTAAATATATACAAGAATAAAGAGCGGCACTCGAACGTCTTACGTGCCTGAAATGTCTGCGTTTCAGTGCCTTAAATATGTAAAGTGCTGTGTAAGTTATGGAATCCTGGCTTCTTCAAACAGCTGGAAACAGTGTAACTGTGGATGTGTCTAAATCCCAGTGGCTGTTTGTGATTCTAGATGAGCCGGGAATTCACACAAAGGCGCTGATGTAAGTTAGCACTGTCGTTGCAGTGGTGATTTGGTGAGCAGAACCACTTATAGCAGTGTCAAACACAGAAATCTTCTCTTTATTTTATGATATGTTCGTTATTTTATGACCATAAAGTTGATGAAATGAGTGTAACAGACAGTGAATGCTCTTCTTCTCTTTCAGCAATGCGACCATAACATACTCTTAACTACGTTACCTGGATTATTATTATTAATATATGATGTATTAGAAACTGTACAGTGTATTCCTCACCTTTTGTGAATTATGTCTTTAGTTTCATATTCACTGAGTGGTGAATTGAAAATCACTCTCAGAATTTATAAGATGGACGTTTAACTGAAACGTCACAGCAAATTTAAACCCTGAAAACGTTTTAATTTCTCTGTAATGTTTGTCTGCCCTATATTAACCCCTCCCCCCTGCTGTCCTTCAGGTATGGCCACAACGCGAAGGTGGTCCACTTCCTGGGTAAAGTGAAGCCGTGGGATTACGTGTATGACCCCCGCAGCAGGTCACTGAAGGGTCAGACGGTGGACCCGGCCCTGCAGCCCAACTACCTGCTGCAGTGGTGGGAGTTATTCTCCTCGTCTGTGGCTCCGCTGATGAAGGAGGAGTACGGAGATCAGCCCTTCCACTCGGGACTGTCTGAGGTAGAGCTGCACTGAGCGCACACAGCACAGCAGCGACACTGAGGTGTTCAAAAACTCCAGCAGCACTGCTGTGTCTGATCCACTCGCACCAGCACAACACACACTAACACACCACCACCACGTCAGTGTTACTGCAGTGCTGAGAATGACCCACCACCCAAATAGTACCTGCTCTGTGAGGGTCCATGGGGGTCCTGACCACTGAAGAACAGGGTAAAAGGGGGCTAACAAAGTATCAGAGAAACAGATGGACTACAGTCTGTAACTGTAGAACTACAAAGTGCACCTATATAGTAAGTGGAGCTGATAAAATGGACAATGAGCGTAGAAACAAGGAGGTGGACTTGATGAAGTGGTCAGTGAGAGGGTGTATATATACACACGCAGTGAAAGCACACTGAAAATCTGCTGTTTGATTACAGCTGAGTAAAGGTTCTGCTCTCCTGTCGTTTCTCTCTGTAGAACGGTTTCCATGGTGGAGCGTCTCAGGCGGACAGTGGTCCTTCTCCTCCTCCCCCTCCTCCTCCTCCTCAGATGTCCTCTCAGGAGCGGAAGCAGAAGTGGGAGCAGGGTCAGGCTGATTACATGGGACTGGACGCTTTCTCGAACATCGAGAGGAAACTCGACTCCTTCCTGAAGTGAAGAACTCCAGAACGTGCCACCGTTAGTTTTATACCGGCTTCCATTAAAGCATGAAAACACACGGCTCTGCTGTTCCTCCGACCCGCGACCGAGTGGAGCTACAGCGCTTACTTTCTGTCTTTTCCGGTTTGTTGTTGATGTGGATCGTCTCCCGGCGAACAGATCTGAACCCCAGAATATTTTTCTACCTGTTTAGAACCGACTATGCAGCTCCCGCTCAGAGCCCTCACTGTGACCCGGCCGTCTGGACATCCTCACCGCGTTAATTAAGCCTCGTTCTGGATTAAATTAAATATATGGGTTTAATCTAGAACCAGGTTTAATGTGTGTCTGGAACTGCAGTCAGACTACAGCTCCATTCAGCAGTGTGTTCAAAAAAATTAATAATTTACTGAATTTACCATAAAGACCAACAGACACACCAGTTTACACACCATAAACAAAAACACCTACTTAAATTATTACACTTTAATTATGTGCATTAGGCTACTGACAGTGTGATCTGATAATACTAAGAATAGAGGCTATTAGTTAACTAATTATTATTGTTATTATTATTATTATTATTATTAAATAATGGGAGAAACCTTTTTATCCAGTTTTATCCGTCTCAGTCCTCCAAAACTCAAAACAGCTGTAAACACTGAAAACCCAGATTTCACTCCAACGTTAAAGAGTCCCTATCATAGAAAAGTTTAGCCCCGCCCATTCAGCTACAGCAGTTTAGCCCATTCAGCTACAGCAGTTTAGCCCCGCCCATTCAGCTACAGCAGTTTAGCCCCACCATTCAGTCTACAGCAGTTTAGCCCCACCATTCAGCTACAGCAGTTTAGCTCCACCATTCAGCTACAGCAGTTTAGCTCCACCATTCAGCTACAGCAGTTTAGCCCCACCATTCAGTCTACAGCAGTTTAGCTCCACCATTCAGTCTACAGCAGTTTAGCTCCACCATTCAGCTACAGCAGTTTAGCCCCACCATTCAGCTACAGCAGTTTAGCTCCACCATTCAGTCTACAGCAGTTTAGCTCCACCCATTCAGTCTACAGCAGTTTAGCCCCACCATTCAGTCTACAGCAGTTTAGCTCCACCATTCAGTCTACAGCAGTTTAGCTCCACCATTCAGCTACAGCAGTTTAGCCCCACCATTCAGCTACAGCAGTTTTGTTATAAGGAGTGTTTCAGCCTGGACTGCTTCTTGAATGAAGTTAAACACAGGGCAGCCAATCAGTTTGCAGCTCATTTACATACATCAGTCTTAAAGGCACAGTAACAAAAACAGCCTGTTTAATTCTATAAGATAAAGAGAGAGGTGCAGAAATTTCGCTGCTTTTATGTACATAAAACCACAGAGCCGTTCTAAGTGGACTAATAACCCTGAAGGAGAATGTAGACTATGGGCCCTTTAACTCCACTGAACTGCTCTGTCTTGTTTACACAGCTTTGCTTTCGTTTGTAAACTATAACAGCTTGTAAGCAGCGTCTCTCGGCCCTGATCCGCAGCAGAAACGGGGCAGTCGGTCAGAGAGCACGGCACTGAACCAAACCCCTCTGTCTTAACGTGATAAGGTTGTTAGCCCACTCACTCCTCTCTGCTTTATCAGCTGCCTTATCGCTGTGCTCTGTTTACAGTCTGCAGGTCTGATGTCTTCAAACAGATGCGGTTTAAAGAGCCTCCAGTTACTGTTCAACTCCCATCAGTGCTTATTACAGCAGATCAGCTCCAATCTTTAACCCTGAGGATCATCTGACCAGCTCAGCGTTCCTCTGCTCCTCCTCCCCTCCCTCCTTCTCTCCCTCTCTCTCATTACACATTCAGCCCAGCTTTCCTTCTACAGAGATTCTACAGCAGACCTTGTTTCATTAAAGAGCCCTGAAATCACTGAAATATTGATTGTTTGAAATAAGAGTTTCAAAAAGTTCCTAAATTCACTCTCTAGTTAGAACCTATATGTGGAAACTACCCTGCAAAAACAGCTTATTTTGACCTCATTTTGTTTGTGATGTCACAACAATTGACATATTTGCATATATCAGCCCACTGATATGTTTAGCCCCATCCCCCATTCAGCTACAGCAGTTTAGCTCCATCTACTCAGCCACCAGCAGTTTAGCTCCACCCATTCAGCCTTCTGCAGTTTAGCCCCACCCATACAGCAGTTTGGCTCCATCCATTCAGCCTACAGCAGTTTAGCCCCGCCCATTCTCGCTGCAGTTAAGGCTTTTTGAATTAACCAATCAGAACAGTGCTCACTTCCCTGGATCAGCCTGTTTAAGAGCCACACAAAAGTGGAGGGTACTGGCCCTTTAAGGCTCATGACTGTTTTTTTTCGTTATTTATATCTGATACATGGCGGCTGGTTTAGCTCCTCCCCCTGAAGCTGCTGTCAGTGATCTGGTGAGTGAGGGTCAGGAGAGCGTGAGCAGGTGAACGCAGAGCTGTTCAGTGCAGCGTCTGTTAAACTGAACGCTGATGGTCACTCCCCGTAGCTGAGATGAAGGAAAAGAGCAGAAATCACAGTTCACTCCCAGTAAAGCGAGTGGGGACCAGTTAGCATCCTCTCCTCCACACAGCGCTAATGGACCTGCTGGCTTTCGTGTAGCACACTTTTAGCACACTTTTAGGCCTTTAACCGGATAGTGTCTCAGTACTGTAATGATGTGTGTGTCAATCTGCCCTCAACACCTGCAACATCTGGAATAAAGAAAAGCAATACCACATCTGTTGTTCCTGCTGTGTAAAAGCTTTACTGAAACACCCACAGTCTCTCTCACATACAAAAACAGGAACTGTTAACGGAGAACACCACCCACTTCCACAAATTTCAGCATAATTAAGTGGTTAAGTTGTAAACAGTCATTCAGAGCGGTTTGGTGTGAAACGCTCTGTTCTAGATAAACTTACCGAGTCAGAACTGTTCACAGTGGTGGTGATAGGAACCAGACGTCCACCTCTAAAAGCTCCCTCACAGAAAGTTCCTACATGAAATGGTTATGAATTCACTGCCTGATGACTGAGACACTGTTTTATGATAGATTAGAGAACTTAAACTCCATTCATGGTGGAGGGATACATGCAGGGCGCTGTGAGGCAAAATAGTCCCCAAAGAAAACTTATTATTTCAGATTTTCCACTATTTTCCATCATCAACATTCCATATAAACTCAGAAGACTCGTGTAGGTTCACTGGTGGTTCTGGATAGTAAATAAAATGTCTATATCTGTGTTGTAGTCATGGCGACCCCTGGTTCCTATCACCACCACTGTAAAGACATCTGAACCGTTTCACACCAAACCACTCTGAGTCACTCTGTTTACATCTCACACACTGAGTTATGGGGGAATTTTGGAAAATGGATGGAGTTCCCCTGTAATACTACACTGATTTACGGTCCACAGTGTGTAGTTTAGACTGTGTTTGGAATGTGTGATGAACCTGCTGATAAACGTAAATAACAAAAGGAAACAAACAGAAAATCAACTAAACATAAACTATCACACATTAAAACAAACAGAAACAGTGACGTGGTGGTCCGCTCTCAGCACGGACCCTTCAAACAGCAGAGCGGTTAGATGTCCATGAGCGAGCGGATCTCCTCAATTCTCTCCCGCTTGCTCTCCTCAGCGTTCCTCGCTCCGAAAACCTTCTTCACCAGCTTCTTCTTCTTCTTCTGGATCTTCACCATGTTCTCCTCCACAGAGTCCTTCACCACAAACTGAAACAGCAGAACAAAGAACCACAACAACCTGAACACACTTTAAACCAAACACTGCAAATGCCATCACGTCACAGTAGCAGATTACATCAGTCAAATCAGTATCAGACGGATAATTACTGTAAATAAACGATCAGAATCAGACATACTGTACATAAACGAACAGCATCAGACAGATAATTACTGTAAATAAACGATCAGAAACAGACATACTGTACATAAACGATCAGCATCAGATGGATAATTACTGTAAATAAACGATCAGAAACAGACATACTGTACATAAACGATCAGCATCAGATGGATAATTACCATAAATAAACGAGCATGATTCAGACATACTGTACAAAAACGAACAGCATCAGACGGATAATTACCATAAATAAACGAGCATGATTCAGACAATTACTGTACATAAATGATCAGCATCAGAGAGATAATTACTGTACATAAACAATCAGCATCAGACAGATAATTACTGTACATAAACAATCAGCATCAGACAGATAATTACTGTAAATAAACAATCAACGTCAGATCGGATAATTACTGTAAATAAACGATCAGAAACGGACAGATAATTACTGTAAATAAACAATCAGCATCAGACGGATAATTACTGTAAATAAACAATCAGAAACAGATAATTACTGTAAATAAACAATCAGCATCAGACGGATAATTACTGTAAATAAACAATCAGCATCAGACGGATAATTACTGTAAATAAACGATCAGAAACAGATAATTACTGTAAATAAACAATCAGCATCAGACGGATAATTACTGTAAATAAACAATCAGCATCAGACGGATAATTACTGTAAATAAACAATCAGCATCAGACGGATAATTACTGTAAACAAGCAGAATCAGACATAATTACTGTGCATAAATGATCAGCGTCAGATGGACAGTTGCAGTAAATAAACGGTCAGACAGGCTTTTAGATGTGGCTGATAGTTCAGGCTGATGTGTGATGTGTTTATTGAACTCCAGTAGTTCAGTGATGTTGAGTTATGAAAATATCTGCATTTTATTCACTTCACTGCATTTATTATGGAAATGAATGTTATATTTCTCAGTGATGATTATGCAGATAAATTTACACCAAGTTTGTGTGTTTTTTTTGGTGGCACAATAAGGTTCGCTACTCACTCTGTTTTCTTTGGGTTTTTACTTGGTTTTCATGGTTTCCTCCATTTCATTTGGGATCTTTTTGAAAGACCGTTTATCCATGACAGAGCAATTCCATATGAAGAGAAAGAGAAACGGTCTGCTAATTATTAGTCATATTTAACATAAAATAAGGTCTCCATGTTGTAAAAAACAGGCCCCTAGCAGCAC